GTTTCTGGAATACGCTCCAGGACATCACAAGACGGAAGGGAAATCGGACAATTCCTCTGAGCCTTTTTTGCCGTTTATCTAAGAAGTTATCGGTACCATCCTGTAGCAGAGAATGAAAATACACTGGGAAAGAAGGCCAGCAAAACCAGAGGCTATTGCAGCTGGCCACCCTTGCGCTGTTTCAGTGTCTTTTTTCTTTAACAGGAACTATTCTAGGGCAACGTAATCCTGTCCCTTGCCTTTGACCTTGCTGTTTGCCAAATACTGAAGGCCAAAGTCTGAAAGGGAAGGAATGCAAGGTGTAGAGAGTGGAGATAAAACGAGGGAGAGGGATTAAGTGTTTGGTCTACTCTTCAGCCAGCTTTAGAGTTAAAAGGTCAAGAATTGTTCTAAAAAAGCAAAGGGGAGAGGAGGCTGCTGGTGGGGAAATTACTCCTTGGTCCACATACTTCAGGACAAAAGGTGGCATTCAAATTGCTGTCTGCCTCTGAGAGCTAGGAACTCAAATTTCCTCTCCAAATTCTTCTCTGAAAAGGGGAGAGGAGAAAGAGAGGGAGGGAGACAAAAAAAGAAAGCAAGCAATAGAAGGAAAGAAAAAATAGCTAAGGGCTTGAACTGCACCCAACAGTTCACTGGCAGGCAGACCTAAACTTTAAACATTGTTGTAATGTATGCTCACCTCTTGCTATTTCTGAGCATGCAACTGCAATGTCCAGAACATCTTCAAGGGAAGCCCCATGTGGGGAGCACTGCAGCAATCTATTCACTGGTGGTTAGCACCTCCCAAACCAATAGGGCTGGTGAATTTGCTCTGAATTATAATCCAGACTTTAAAGGAGCTACGCAAGTCTTAAATCCTGTCCCCCAAATAGTTCCAGCACCTTGGATATCTCTACATTTTGGACTAAAACCCAGAGTGGATTCAAAGCCTGGTGACACAGGAACTACCATCTTCCTCTGAATCCAGCCAGGACATTATCAGACCATGAATGGTCCACTGTGTCCAGAATGACCACCATTGGTGGAAACCCCCATAGCCCTACCATCGAGGCCACTTGTCCTCCACTGATAACTTTGAACGGAGGAGTACAGTGGGCCCTCCACATTCACTAGGGTTAGGGTCACAGGACCCCTGTGAAAGTAAAAGAAACACAAATAAAAAACTATTCTTTTTTTTCCCTAAGAGAATACTTCTCTAGGAATCTCTAGGTCCTCCATCTTTATGGCCAACATCTGGCAGAAGCTGACCATAGAATTGCACTGGAGGACCTACAAATGCCTAGAGAAGTGTTTTCTCTACAAATCTTTAGGTGCTCCAGTGTGACGTCTGGCAGAATTGTGCTGGAGGACCTAGAGATTGGTAAAGAAAACATATAATCAAAACCTCAAAAGTCAAAATTACAAATGTGGAGGTCTGACTGTATTCCCGAACTAGATACCTGTTTTATCAAGGGGAATTACTATGAACCTCTCAAGAAAGGGTCATCTTCATGATTCCCAATTCCAGGGGACATGTACCTATACAGTGTGCATGGGAAGGTAATGTTGCCAGATCTCAGGCCCTCTCCTGAATCTCCAGTTTCCATGAATTATCTCCAGATTGGTGATGAGGGTGCAAATCCTCCAGTTTTGGTGGTTTCCACTCCATCTGCATGCAAATCTCCAGCCCATCTAGTAGAACAACAGCTTGCTACAATGTGCAAAGCTTAATTGGTTTGTTTTTGCAAATTGCAAGACTCTAGCTGCATCTACACTGTAGAAATAATGCAGTTTGACACCACTTTAACTGCTATGGTTCTATCCTACAAAATCCTGGGGTTTGCAGTTTGGTGAAGCACCAGAATTCTTTGGCAGAGAAGGCTAAAGACCTTGGAGCTCATCACAGCAATAATAAAACTGGTTTACCTGAGTCAACTTAAAATTTAAAATGGGTGGCATCCTGATGTTATCAGAAGTATTTAGCTGCCAAAATTGCTGCCTGGGTCCATCCTGGGTCCATCCCTGCTCCCAGGGCTGCTCCAGTGGTCATTTCTTTAAGCCAGAAAACTCCTGACTTTGAAAAGAGGCGCACTGAGCGCCCCTGTGGAGATGGACCCGGGTGGCTATTTCGGTGGCTAAATCCTTCTAATAACATCAGGATGCCACCTGTTTTAAATTTTAAGCCTGCTCAGATAAGCTGGTTTTATTATTGCTGTGATAATCTCCCTTGTCAAACTGCAAACCCCAGGATTTTATAGGATGGAGCTACAGCACTTAAACTGCATTATTTCTATATTGTGGTATAGATGCACCACAAAATGTAGAACATTCAAGAACAAATCTAGAACATTACAAAATAAAAGCTAAAAACACTAATACAGTTGGCCCTCCTTATCCACAGATTCTTTATCCATGGATTCGCGCATCCGTGACTTGAAAATATTTTTAAAATGTATCAATTTCAAAAAGCAAACTTTGATTTTGCTGTTTTATATAAGGGACATCATTTTATTACCCCATTTTATTTAATGAGAACTGAGCATCCATAGATTTTGGTATCCACAGGGGGTTCTAGAACCAAAGACCAGTGGATAACAAGAGCTCACTGTATAAATATAAATTCATGCTTCTCAGTCATGCTCAAAATGGAGGGCATTTTGGAATTCCTCCTGGACAGAAGGTTGAAATGTAGGATATGTCGTGGAAAAGGAGGATTTCTAGTCACCCTGTCCATGATAGGTTCACCTTAAGGGTTGCTATAAGTCTGAAATGTTTTTGTTTTTAATGCAAATTATTCTTTGCCCATTGGGTCTGCAGACAACAATATCCCAATGGACAAATATTGAGGTTCAGTTTTTTTTTTAAAGTTTGGTTTATAGATGCTTCTGTTGAGCTGTACTGTAAATTTGTTCAGCTGGTGCCCTATAGTGTCCATTGACTGTGATGGAAATGAACATTTTTTCCTTAAAAATAAAATAAAATAACAGTGAATAAGTGAAACCAAGTAAGTCAATCCAATACACCCTCCTTTTAGGAAGAACCATAAATATCAGCTGTAACAGGGTTAATGGACCAGCAAGGCTGCTCCAGGAGGTCAAAGGCTAATTAGGCCAGGAGTATTTATGATGGCAGGTCTATAGGCTCTCCGACAGTTATTTCTAAGGGAAGAGTTGTTCTGACTTAGGCACCAGACAGGTATCTTTTTTAGCCTTTCTTGAGAACCTAAATATTTGCTGCTCTGGGATGTAATGATACCAACCCATGCAGATGGCTGCTATGAAAGAACTGGACAAGATTGTATAATGTAAAGACATAACTTTGAACGCTAAAGTGAGGATCATCCAAGCCATCCACCCCATCACCATGTACAGATGTGAGAACTGGACAGTAAAAAAAGCTTATAGGAAGAAAATCATCCCTCTCTCTGTGGTATAGTGGTTGAAACGTTGGGCTAGGACTCTGGGAGACCAGGGTTTGGGTCATCCACTTGGTCATGGAGACCCACTGGATGACCATGGACAAGTCACATACTTTCTTAGCTTCAGTGGAAGGCTATGGCAAACCCCTTCTGAGCAAAATCTATTAAGAAAACCTTGTGATGGGTTTGCCTTAGGGTTGCCATAGGTCAGAAACAACTTGAAGGCACACAACAACAACAATGTTTCTCTTATACCCATCGCTGGAGAACATAAGTGGGAGGATGTTGTTGCCCTCATCTCCTACTTGTAGGCTTCCATGGACATCTCTTTGAACACTGTGGCAAAAAGAATGTTTAATTAGGCAGTTCTGCATGATTTTGATCATTTTTTTGAATATTTTCCAATATTCTTTCCATCCCTACTGTCTACTGAGGTTTTCTGAGCAGGAAATAGAACCTTGATCTCTAGAGTAGTAGTGTAACACTCAAACCACTAAGCCATGGAGACTGCCATATGCTGCAATCCTGCTCTAATTCCACCTTTCAAGCCCCATGTGATAAAGTCCTAAAAGCCTGTTGGAATAAAAGGATCATTGCCTAGAAGGATAGCAGGGACAGGGTGACTAGAGATCCTAACTGTAAAGGAGGATAGGACACCTCAAAATATAGCACATTCAAGAAAAATATAAGACATTTCCAAATAAAAACTAAAAATACTAATAGAAATATAAATCCATGCTTCTTAATCATGCTCAAAATAGAGGACATTTTGGAGCAGAAGGCTGAAATGTAGGACATGTCCTGGAAGGGGCAATTTGGCATCCTTGGGAAGAGAGCTCTGGAGTCGAGGGGCAACTACCCAGAAGGCCCTCTCTTGTGTCCTCACCAACCATTTTTGTGATGGTGGTAGAAATGAGAGAAGGACATATCTTGACGATCTCAGGACTTGGGCAAGCTCATACAGGGAAATATGGTCTGCCAGATAACTTGGACTTGAGCCATAAAGGTTTTAGAGGTCATAACTAGCACTTTGGATTGTGCCCATAAACAGATTGAGAAGGCTCGACCAAGGGTAGAAGGTGGTGAGGCAGAGCCATTGGGCATGATCACGCTTCCCCCTTCCATGCATACTTGGACACAACTTTCTTGACCATTGTGCTAAGATGGAGGCCCTAGGATGTGACTCATTGCAGACTTCCTCTTGCTTTGTACCCTTGAACATAAAGTGGTTTCACGGGTAGCAGAACTAGCCTGGCTGCTGGGTTTGCTCAGCCAAGATGAGCATGCCATCCCTTCTCCTTGCCATGCATCTTTATCCGATACATATGTTTGCACCCATGACTGACACATTCACAGTTCTCCGTCTGGAGGTATAAGTTGAAAGTTTCTGCAACTTAACAACAAGCCAAGAGTTCCATGTGTGAAAAGACTCAGGGGAACCTCTCTCTGTCTTTTTTTTTTTAAAACAGAAATTCATCTGTGGCACAGCACTTACTGAAACAGGAAGGCCTTTGTGGTTTACACCATCTTCTCAGGTGTGAGTGGTGGGATGTAGGGAGGGAAGGTAGCCTTTGGCGTCACAGCAAAGAAAAATTAACAGAAATCTTTTAACTTGCATAAAGAATCATTTCTCTCCCCTCCTGGGTTATCTTTCTTTCTTTTGCTTTCTACCATCACAAACACACCCAACACTTGCAATGGGCTGAGAAAACCAAACTGGAAATGGAGGAGTCAGAAACTGGGGTGCCGTTCAACCCTGGCCTGAAGAATCGAGTGGAAAATCCAGTCCATGTACATTTGAGTTGTCTACTGGGGGATGGGCTTGAGCCAGAACAGCTTTATAATGGTGTTTAGAAAGAAAGAGTCTGTGTTATGTCTAGGGGGGAATGGCGTGTTTTGTGTTATGCTGACCCCGGCATTGTACAATTCCTCACTCTCCCCCAGTTCAAAACTGGTATGCAAACTTTGAGCGCCGGCTAGCCGACTGGAGTTTGTATCCCAGCCAAATCTACATTTCAGGTTTGAAAAGGAGACTTGGGGAGGGAAAGGAGGGGGGGCAAAGGTCAGTGTTCGCAGGTTTGAGATCATGTTTAATATCACATGACACCTTTGTCAAACACTGCTGTGTTTAAAAAAGAAAGGCAGAAGGAGAGGGAAGGAAGGAGAGAGGCTGTCTGGAACCTGATGCTCTTCTCCCCCTCTGCACACTCTGTTGGTGTTTAACCCCTTGGAATGGCTGCCTCTTGGCTCTTCAGGCATGACAACCCCAGGGAGCACCCTGTCTCAAATGACACAGGACTGCAAGTCAACTGTTGGTTGAAACCCATTGGGGGCATGGGATTGTGTAGTGCAAAACTCTGCATTTTGACTGCATAGATCACAAAAAGCTATGGTATGCTCCTAAAGACATGGGGGTGCCAACACATCTGATAGTCCTGATGAGGAATCTGTACTTAGGACAAGAGACAACTGTTAGAACAGAACAGGGAGAAACAGAATGGTTCTCAATTGGCAAGGGGGTCAGGCAAGACTGCATTTTTTCACTCTATTTGTTCAACTTGTATGTAGAAAACATATGGAGAGCAAGTCTAGACTCAGAAGGAGGAGGAGTAAAGATAAGAGGTAGGAACATCAACAATCTACGATATGCAGATGTCACCATATTACTATTAGACAGCATCACAGACTTGGAACAAGTACTATGGAAGGTCAAAGAAGAAAGTGCAAAGGCGGGCTTGCTGCCGAAAATAAAGGAAACAAAAATAATTACCATGGAGAATCCACATAAATTCAACTTATACAATGATTAAATTGAAATAGTTAAAGATTTCCCATACTTTGGATCAGACATTGATCAGAACGGAGACTGCAGTCAAGAAATCAGCAGAAGACCAGAAATGGGAAGAGCAGTGATGAAAGAACTAGACAAGATCCTAAAGAGGAAAGATACACAACTGAGCATTAAAGTTAGAATCATCCAAGCCATTGTATTCCCCATCACTATGCACTGATGTGAAAGCTGGACAGTGAAGAAAGACAATAAAAAGAAAATCAACTCATTTGAGATGTGGTGCTGGAGAAGAGTGCTGGGGATACCATGGACAGCCAAAACCCCCGAAACAAATGAACATATCAAGTCTGAAATCTCCTGGGAAGCCAAGATGATTAAACTGAGGCTGTGGTACTTTGGCCACATCATGAGAAGGCACGACTCACTAGAAAAGACAATTATGCTGGGAAAGGTAGAAGGCAGTAGAAAGAAGGGAAAACCATACGCTAGATGGCTAGACTGAATTAGGAAGGTCACAAGCCTGAATTGGCAGGACTTAAGCGGAGCAGTGGAAGACAGAGGTTGTTTTGGAGATGTCTCATACACAGGGTCGCCATGAGCTAAGGTCTACTCGAGGGCAGCTAACAACAACAACAACTCTACACATTGAGTAACACATGAATTGTGCTGTATCACCCTTGTGTTGAATGGCAGAGTTGTGGAACTGAACCAAAGGAGACCGCACATGAACTGAACATGCATATAGGCCCATGTGCCCTGTTCATTATCCATCCATGAGGAAGGTGCATCTGTTTGCACAATGCCACCATAGCCAAGATCCTATCTTGCTTTTGTTTAGTGGTTCCCAAACTTGGTCCTCTGAATATTTTGGACTCAGCTCCCAGAATTCCTGACTGTTGGACAGGTTGTCTGGGACTTCTGGAAGTTGATGTCCAAAACACCTAGAGGACCAAGGTTTTTGAATCACTTAGTGTAACATAAATTGTCTGCTGGCAAAGTTAAGAACCGGAATGATGTATTGATTGTTTAAAATCTTGTTTGAGAACAGGACAAGAACTCAGGAAATTAGAGTTCAGATCCCCATTCAGCCATTGAAGCAACACTCTCTCAGCCTCAGAGGAAGGCAAGGACAAACCTCTGAACAAATCTCGCCAAGAAACCCTGTGATAAGGTTGCCTTAGGGTCACCATAATTTGGAAACAAATTGAAGGAACTCAATAACAAAATTAAAAGTTATGCAGCTCCTATACTGTATACTAATGTAGTATAATGCATATGGATCTATGGTCAGTGTGCATGTCCAACAACCCATTGTGTAATTGCAATGCACAATGTACACCCACACCTTGTTTAATCAATTGTCATCTGGATACAACCATTAAGTATTGTCCAAATAAATAAATAAATAACTCTACATGTATAGTGCAGCTTACACCTACATATGTCACTGACAGGATGCAAGCCCACATATACAGCCCAGTTCTGCTTCCATAACTTTGCATAGTGTTGTGCACTGTACCAAAAATGTCCAACAACTTCTATACAGGAATTTATACATGCAAAAGACTCCAGTAGGATCCCACTCATATGTTTAAGAGCAAAAGTAGTGTGTGTTTGTGCTATAGGTGCATGCATCCCCTCCCACATGGCTTACCTCTTTAACATGCTGTCATTAGAACATTATTTTTCTTCCAGCAATGTTCCTGGTCTTGGATGTGAACCCTACATTAATCCTTGTCTTTTGTTTTATACAGGATTGGGAACAGGCCTGTGTTTATACAAACAGCCCCATGGCTTATGGTGTGCTAACCTGTAGTCTGAACTTTATTGGGGTGTGAATTGGAGCCATCTGTTAAACCGGGAAGTGATAGCAGCTAGTATAAGAATGAAAATATTGGCTTAAATTCTAATGGGAGTTCCCACTAGATTCACCAAAGCAATTGTTGAAGGGGGAGTCAACACGTAGGTAAATCCTAGTAATTTAATGGCTCTACTATGCTAGTGACTCCTAATAAGATTCAGGCTAGCATCATATTGGTATGAGAATCAGTGGTGTAAGATTGGCTGTTTGTGTGTTTACCTCTCTAAACTATCTGCCTAATGTTAACTTTGTTATTTCTTAATAGCAAGATTTCCTCTCACTAAAATACTCTGTCTACATCACACAGTTATAGTAGTTTAATGCCACTTTATTTGCCAAGGCTCCATCCTATACATTCCTGGGAAACATCATCATCATCATCATCATTTCTTACCTGCCTCTCCCCAAAGCTTGAGGAGGTGGGGTACAACATAGATTAAAATACAATATATAACTAAAGACTTGAAACCATTTGAATACATAGTTTAAAATGTATAAACATAGAATTTAAAAATAGAATTTTAATGTGTAATGTGATTTTAATGTATAAAAGTCATCTTCAAGGCTGCTGCCACACTGGAGAATTGACACTGCTTTAACTGCCATGACTCAATGCTATGGAATTCTGGGATTTCTAGTTTTGTGAGATATTTAGCCTTCTCTATCAGAGAGCTCAACAAACTACAAATCCCAGGATTCCATAGGTGGAGATATGCCAGTTAAAGCAGTGTCAAACTGCATTAATTCTGCAGTGTGGCAGCAGCCTTATAAGATGATAATTGCACATTAAAATCAAATTACACATTAAAATTCTAGTTTGGGGAAGTACTTAGAATTCTCTGCTAGCATACTCCCC